TCACCACCTGTGATTTCAGGCATGGTGGCTGACCCCCGGGGAGGCAGCAGGCTCAGGCCTGTAATCGATGAACACATAGTAGAGTGAACACAGAGAGCATGTCCTTACCTGAGAGGACGTCTTTCTCTGTGTCTCCACAGAGTGATTACCTTTTTATTTGTATGGTGTGGGTCCTGCTGAGTCAAGGTTAAGATTAACATAAAGGCAGCGGTCGTGTTAAGCATTTAGAAATGATGAAGAGTGGGATCTGTGTGCCAACTCAGAGGGCATGAATCTTGTCTGTCACATTGTCTATTGATAGGGTGTGAATTTTAGATGAATGTGTGACAGGAAGATTGCACATGTTTGCTGCTTATTGTGTATGTGGTTACGTCTGCACACAGTGGATGGTTTTCCAGTTGAATGCGGCTTTCTCTGTGCACTGTTTGAGAGAGAGCATGTTACCTTCACACATTCTGAGTCACTGACATTAGTGATCAGTCTGCCAGTTATCAAATTAGGAGAAAAAACTGGGCTTGTTATGTTTGTTTTCAGCTTGTTGTGCTGCCCCCTGGTGAGCAATGCATCAATTAATACAGGTTTTGGTATCTAAGAGATGTGAGAAGATGTGACCAATTAAAAAAACTGGAGCATGCAGAAGTCTATCTTTATTATTTATCTTTACATGAAGATATATGAGAAGATGATATAAAAGATGTTATGTTGTGGTGTCCACGTTTCACTAAACGGCTCTAACTTGTTAACATTTAAAATATATTTTTGTGTTTAATGACAAACTACTCACTATATCTGGAGATTTTCAGCCAAAGATGATGAGACACTCGTCACTGCAGCAGAGCTCCTTTGTGATTTAGGCCGAGAACACAGATTTATTTTTGTATTTAAAAAAAAAAAAAAAAACTCGCCTCGTGCAGCTTTAACAGTGCATGTCTGCTGAATGTGTGCGAGTGGTAGAAATACTGATGAAACCGTGGCTCTAAGAACAGGAACAGCTGGTGCACTGACACCCGCTGACACCCAGCGCTTGACGCCACCACGTTACCATGACAACCGGCTGTGCACCCTCTGTTTCTGACAGCTGTTCCCATGGTGCCTGGGCTTGGCTCAGCCTCTGGACTCCCATTGGCAGGATGGATAGCTTCTCGGGGTCAGAGGGCATGTTTGTGACGTCGCTGCCGCGGCGGTGTCATGTTGTTTTTCCATTTGAGTTATGTACGGATCAGTTTAGCTGAGGCTTGTGTCAACTCCTGTGTCCATTTATCATTATTTATTTGTTACATCAAAGCCTGCTTGAAACATTTTGAGCAAAAACATGCACATGCAGCTCAAATTCTCTTGAGTATATTCACATGTGCTTGAACTCTTTGTGTGTGTGTGTGTGTGTGTGTGTGTGTGTGTGTGTGTGTCCTCCTCAGTCAAGTACAGCCCAAACAGCAAAAGTGATCAGAATACTGGTTTAAATTAGACGTTGCTCTCATGATACAGTGATGATCTTCATTATGTTAACTTATTTAAATAAACTTTAAAGTGTTCTGGCTCTGCATTATGGATGGCAGAGATGCTTTGATGTTGAGCCCCTCGGTTATTACAGATAGCTGTTAAGTCTCCTTGAGGCTTTACAAAATATCAGCATTTCAGCTTAAACATTACATGCCAAATATTTGAAAACAAAAATGCATATAAGATGTAGTAATATTAGAAATATCAGCCTGAAGGTGCTCGGCTCTGTGCTACAAAGCACGTTTCATTTTCTAAATTTGACATTGATGAGTTTTTTAATGCTTACAATTTTTTAGACGTTTCATTCAACAGTCTACGTCACAAAATCCGTGTCCCTGTTCCAACCATTCCCCATGTCAGCTGATTGGCCAAATGTGTCCCAGTCCACCAGTCACCTCCCTGTCCCTGTTCGCTCTGTATCGTGGCAGCCTGCTGTCTCCGCTCTAGCACTATTGAGAGACTGCCACAAAGGCACGGGTGAGGAGGAATGTGCTATTGGCTTCTGTCAACTCATTTCCTGGACTTGGAAAGTTTCTGCTCTGCACTTTATGAAATATTTTCTCAGGGACACTGTTTGCCTCGTTTTGTTTGGACAGCTTGTTTCTTCAGCAAAGACCGACAAAGACAAACCTTTTTTGTATTCTGTAAAAACACAGCATCGTTCCTGGACTTCTTTGGAGAGGTCATGGTGGAGGATTGTTATCGGTTTGATTTTTTCTACCCTGAAAAGCTGGTGACAACAGATCAGGTGTTATGTCTTCTACCTGTTTCCTACCCAGCAGCTGAGCACTACAGACAGGAGGACATGTCTGCTTTCAATAGATCCAGGTGATTGGACGTCAGTGTAAAGAGAATGTCTTTGGGCATTTTTGCATCTGATTGTTGGACCACACAAGGAATTTGAATGTTACTTTGGTGACCTTTTGTTACAGGGTTTCCGTCGTTCCTTAAAGAGTCTTGAAAGTCCTTGAATTTATTGATCTGATAGTAGGGCCTGAATTAGTATTTATTTTTTTAACCCATTTTAACCAGGTAAGTCCTGCTGAGATCTACAGTCTCCTTTTCAAGGGAGACCTGGCCAAGACAGCAGCACACAAAAAGGTTTCCGCCAAACAACCACACAATAAGAAGCATAAAAGATATACTTATGCACGATGACAAGAACCAACTGATTCATTCACCCTTGTACTTAAATCAGGCAGAGAACCAACTCACGTAGTTTCAACTCTTTTCACAGGTTATTCCAAGTGAGTGTAGCAGAACACATAAAAGCTTTTTTCCCCCAGCTCAGCCTGTGCACTAGAACCAGACAATTTAAATATATTAAATGTATTAAAATGCCTTAAATAAATCATTCAAAAATGCTAAAAAAAAGGGGTAGTGGGATTTTATGAATCATTTTCTAATGTTGTATTTTAAAATTTCACAATAAATAATATCCTTGGTAGGACGGATCCTACAGAGTAAAGGCAAGAGTCCTTCCTAGCAGTCAGTGAACACACATAACAAACTAACGAGTGTCCCCAGGTGTGTGTCATTAACCCTCAGCAGACTGAGGGGGTTTCAGGATACTGTGATAATTTTGGCACTCTCTAATGTTGTTGTACAATTTGAACAAATGTAGCAGTATTTTCAGAGTCACATGACTTTTAGGGAGAATACAGTTCTGGATTGTATTAAAAAAAAGCAAACAGGTAGGCTAAATGAAACTTTTGTGGCACTTAGCGCTCTATCAGCGCTGTAAACAATTAATTTGAAAACTTTTATGTTTTATCTTAAACGTGGCATCTAAAAAAATCTCACTTTTTGGGCAGTGGACACACTGGAAAGTGTAAATTACGAGGTTTCTGTCAGTATTTTTTTATGTTTGTATGATAAAAACACCAAATAAATAACACCTGCTGTGGATACACACATGCATCCTTGAAAATTCTCTGAATGAAGGCCTCAGTCCTCGGCAGAATTTGAAGGATACTTGACACTGGAACAGTTCTTGGGATTTGATGACGTAGCATCCTTGAAATTCAGCCATTTAAGGATCCTTCCTTGACTTTTAGAAACACCCACTGCACCCTTGATGACAAACGCAAGTGCAAATTCAATACAAATTGGCTATTTCATGGTTCACCAAGATTTTGCAGCATGGTTGAAATCGATACAAGGCGATGCATACAAGGTTCTGCATATTTTAAAAAAAGGTTTTTCAAACTTAGCATGACGGGAATCAAGGTAGTTGAATCACAAATACAGAGTGACGATAACAAATTTGGCAACAACATCCACCAACAAGTGCCAATTTTTTCCCAGTTCTGTTCTACCCTCATGTGCACCACGAGACAAAAAGTCATGTTTTATGTTTTTATGTTACAATACATATTTGGGCAGAATTGTCCTTTATCCTTAAACTGATGTTCATTCTTCAGTTAGTTATGTAAAATTGGTCTAAAATTTTGTCCACAGTGGCATTAAAAAAGTCTTAAATCTAACTTTCCTCTACCTGTAGGAGCCAGTGGTCACTATTTTCTGTTATTTTACAGACTTGATGATTAATCAGTATTAAATCAGCTGTTCTATAACATTTATATCTATTTAGTATCTATTTATATCTATTTATATCTATTTATTTATAGGTATTTTGCCCACTTTCTCACTCTGAGACATTCATCAGGAGGGCTTCATTGTCCTGTCTGTCTAGTCTGTCTTCCACCTATACAACTTTATTTTTAGGGTTAAAAGATTTATTTCTAGGTTTTACCTCAGCAAAAGTGTGAATGCCAGTGCACCGCATTGTCTTGATGAATTTCTTTCAACAAATAACTCACAGACACGACTGTAAAGTCAGTGTGCTGCCAGGGACTTAGCTAGAGTTTGTCTGCTTCCACAAATAGGCAAATTGGCTGCAAAACTGTGAATGAAGCCATCTCCTTCTTCTCTATCTCTCTCAGTCAGTGAGGTAATTAAAGCGCCTGTTTGGGTCCCCTATATGAGAGCCATGGTATGCTAATGCAGTATTCCTTTGACAGTTCTGTTGAGACAACATTGTGGGTGTTTTCACATGGCCTGATTTGCAATTCACACTCGGGTTATTTCCATCGTAGGCATCCCAGGAGGCAGGGAGGGGAAAAGGCTGTGAGCCACAGAGAGCAAAACTGAGCTGAAGTTTCATTTAATTGCATGTATGATTTTTTTTCTGAAAGGCACCTTTCAAGCCGTGCTCTAATTGCCAGTTATTTTGCTGAAACTGAGATGTTGTTCTCAAACATGTGCATGCACAGCACCGCTTTTGTTCCTGCAAGATTTATTTATTTTAAAAAATTATTCAGTTATTCAGAAAATTCCCCCACGCTCTTTTCTGGTTTTGTTTTTGTGAATGTAGCTGGATATTTAGACAGGAAGGTCTGTGTGAATGGCACTGAAGGGTAAAGTGTATCAAGTGCAAAGAGTTTGTGAATGAGTAATGTAGCACTAATGGGCAACTTTTCCCTCCTCTCTCCTCTCAGAACACTGCACCAGCAGTTTGAGAGCTACAAACAGGAGGTGCGTCGCATCGGGGCGGAGACGCGGCGTCAACAGACCCAGCAGAAGGACGACGCGCCCACCTGTGGCATCTGCCGCAAGACCAAGTTTGCTGATGGCTGTGGCCACCTCTGCTCCTACTGCCAGACCAAATTCTGCGCTCGCTGTGGAGGGCGGGTCTCTCTGCGCTCCAACAATGTGAGAAACCTCACCCATGGCCTCCACCTTTTTCTTTCTCCCTCTCACACTCACCTCATTCCTGCTGTAGCTGATGTACAGTTGGTCCTTCTGCTTCTGTGTCTGTAACTGTCTGCTTTGTTGCTTCCTGGTCACACTTTGCAGAGGCCAAAGTGTATGGGAAGAATGGCTTGGCACCAGTGATAGGCCCTTCAAGGCTCATTTCAAGTCCGATACTGTAGTGTTGTGGAAATGTTTCTGTAGCTCACTTGAACATGAAAGCACACCAGTTACAGCATCTGTGTTGTCCTGTGTCTCCTGTGACTGCACTGCAGCCATCGAGCAAGCATGTCGGACAGTCACAGTACTTACCTACTCAAGCAACATGTCTGAACAAAGTGAGAGAAGGAGGGTAACAAGGTTCAGATAGGTTGGTAGTGGAGGACGACAGCTGTAGTATCGGATGGATTCCAATAGCACAGCAAAAAACTGTCTAAATTAAATTTAAAAAAAAAAAACCTTCTGGCAGCATTATCCTCTTCTTTGCTGTCTCTCTACTCAGTTTGTACTAAACATGTAGTTTTTTTCTATTCCCCCAAAAACAGAAAACTACAAACTTAACGTTTGTTGCAAGATTAGCTGTTTGATTTTGTCGCAAGTAACTGTAGCTACTGCGCTTACATTGGTTCCCGATGGCAAATGTAAACACCTTACCTCACTACTGGAGTCTAATTGTTTTAGTTTTAAAACATACCAATATGGACAAACAGTGGAGCCATCATTTAAGCCTACAGGAAGTAAATATTTCATTTTGATTTGTGCATTGGTTGCCATTAAACATTTTTTTTAAACTGCTGATTAAATAACACCATGATAAGTGGCAGCAACAACTGTGACACATCCCAGTCTCCAGAAAGAAATGTTTGCATTTTATGTTTCTGCAAACCACATTTTTACATTTACATTTCTCAACAATGCTGTGGTTAATGTGTGGGTAGGTTTAAGCACAAAAACCACTTGGTTACAGTTAGGAAAAGATGATGTTTTGGCTTTAAACACTCATGTTTCATGGCACAAAAGCTGCTATTAAAGCAGGGAACGGTCAATGAAATACGACCAGCTTTAGTTGCTCAAACACTGATTGTAAATTCTGCAATGTCTTCCTAAAAACATCCAGGTTTGTTGTCATATGCCACTGGGAAATGTCTCAAATGCTGCTGGTAAATGTTGCAATGTGTCAGTGAAAAATGCCAAGTTTTGGTGGCTCAAACGCTGCTGGGAAACGCCACAGTGTGCTACTAAAAAAGCTCAGGTTTGGTAAAAAAACACCCAGGTTCTGTGTCACAAGCACCGGTGGGATTGCTGCAAAGGGTTGCCTAAAAACATCCAATTTTGTTGTTCATCGCTCCAGACATTGGTCTGCCGTGGTCTCCTCGGTGACAAAAAAGCTCATACACTACATCACTTTAGAATTGTTAATATGATACATATGAAACGTACAAGTGTGATGTTTTCGTGGTTTGCAGAAATGTACAATGCCAACATTTTCTTCTGGCTACTGGGCTGGTTTACAAGGGCCTACAACCATATTAGCAGTGCTAATGAGTGAGGCAGTACATAGGCACAGCAGTGCTTTGAGTTAAATACCAATGTCAGCAAGCTAACAAGCTCACAATGAAAATAGTAACATGCTGATGATGATGCAGATATTGTTTACAATGTTATTTATTTTAGTTTTGCAGGTATGCATGCTAAGATCTGCTAATTAGGTATGTTCATTAGCCAAAGAGTTAGACCTGATGAAGAGGAAAATATATATAACACATCATGACTAAATAAAACAAAACAAATAAAACAAACCCACAATGCACTGTAGATGCTGAGCAGTGCTACCTCTGAGGCTCTGGAGGCCTCATTATTATAAAACAAAGGTCCACACCAAATCACCAAATTATAACCATTCATTTGATCCAGTTTGGATCAGTGTGGCGTCTATCTATGAACCAAACATGTTTGTACTATTTTAAGATCCGGCCCTCTTTTAGCCAAGCATTCTGCGGGCTCCAGCCCAAGAGAGAGGACCTCCTCCTGGGTATCTTACCTGACTGTGGGCCCTCCACCCTTGGCCTGCTGGTCTCCAATCTGTTCAGGATCCGCCTCGCCCAGCTGGGCCTGAGCTCACACTGGCAGCACACGTATGTAGAGCTCACAGACCAGTGAGAAGAGCAGATAAAGATAGTATCCCTGTTGGTGCAGCCATTGATATTACTGTCATAGCAGACAGGCTGTTAATGGAAGTACAGAGATGAGACCATCATGATGTGGATGCAACCTATAAATAAAACAAATAAAGTTAAGGGTTTATTTGAAGGGGAAATGCACTTAAAATAACATCAATCAATACAGCCTTTTATACAATAAAATAATAAGTGTTTTAATATGGAATTTAATTCCTTGAAATACTTGGCGTCACTTATAAGTGGAAATTCAGGGGCCTAAATAATTTAGCTCAGTCAAAAGAATAGTAGATGAAGTGCAGATGTAATGTACATATGTGTTATCATTGTTTAATGTGTATCATGGATGGATTTTTTTGTATGTGTTCATGTGAGAGTGCGTCATCTGTTAGTCTGCACAAGTGTCACTTTGACATAATGAATCAATTAATCCATAAATACATTTGTGTCCTGTCAAATTAAGTGGGTTAAGACATAAAACATATTCAATGCCTGGTTCCTTTACGTCAGAGGTGAGACAGGGTCATTGTTTTTGCAATTCACAAGTAAGTCTCAAGCCTTGGCACTCAAATCCCAAGTCAAGTCCCAAGTCTTAAACTCAGAGTTTAAAGTCCTAAACAAGTCATGACACTCTCTTTACCAAGTGTAATGCCATTTTAACAAGTGTTGTAAAATTTCCGTCAAAAGCCTAGTCCCAATTAAATGGTCCCTTTTACTAGCCCAGTGTGGCTACACATTTTGACAAATACTCGCCTGTCTCAATTAGACGTCTGGTCTGGTCGCCAAGCAGTTCATCTTTAATATAGAAGTTCCTCGGATTTATAAAAGCAGGGTGTTGGCTACCTCAAATTAAGTGTCCATTCCTTGATTACCCTTCTTTAGTCCGTAAGGGTCCTCAGATCAAAAGAATCAAAAAGGTTTTTCATAAAAATTAATCCAAGTTATGAGTATTGTTTTGAGGATAAAGTGGTGTTGTGTCAGTATGCGGGGTGCCATAATCCTTGAGTGCCACAACTCTGTCTCTCTCTCTGATGTGCTGTGTGTCGAAGCTCAAATGAATGATTCATAACTGATATATTATCGGAAGCCTAATTTTTAAACAAGTAATATTAATACTGGTTTAAATAAACACATAAATAAAATTGTATTTCCCATCTTGCTGAGCAACAGTTTTGTGTGAAAGAAATTAAAGGCCTGTCCTAAATATAGGGCTGCTGATTTCAGTGATTTAAGCAAATAATAGCCTGTGCTATTAACTGAAGTCTTACGGTAATAATACACTATATTTACAACCCTAATCCTGAATGTTTTTAAACATTTGTATTTATCAGTTCAAACAAGTTTCTTAGAAGTTGTTGTTTCACTGTCTTTTATTTTTAACCCTCAGGTTTTGCCTACTGCAATTCGTTTTCTGTTGATCGCTGCGTAGTTTTTGTATGCAAACAAAATTATCTTTGGTAGTCTTTTTTTCCAACTGGCACTCAGTAATGTCATGTTAGTTCATCATGATTCTTTCCTGCAACTTGACTTAACGCTGTCAGACAGGTCCAAGCAAAGTGTATCTGGAAGTGTTGACTGGGAAAGAATCGTGTTAAGGTTAGCCGATTCAGGAAATGAAGGGAAATGAACTGGTTTGTGGCACTTTTTAAATAACATACTGGTTAAACTTTCAGCTAAGGCCAGGGTTTCAAGTATTTCAAGCCAAAAGACTCAAGTCCAAGTGCAGTCACGTGTCACTGGTGTTAAAGTTGAGATGCAAGTCATTTTTGATTTTGTGAAGTCGAGTTTAAAGTCATCAATTTTGTGACTCGAGTCCACACCCCTGCTTTACGTTATATAATTCCATTGTCTCCACTTACAGCATGGAGATGTAACTAAACTGTGAAAATATTACTTTTAGAAATTATCAAAGGTCCATTTAAGATTTAATGCATCACTCAAACCCAAACAGATCTGAGTTTCTACACTCACTGAGCAGTTTAATTCATAAATCCTTCCTGGGATAAGAGAACACAACATGTAAATGGTCTCCCGTTTCTTTTCCGTGAGTGAGAGTTTTTTTTGTGTGTATAATGTGTGGGAGGGAAGTGAAGCTCTTTTGGTCTCTGCGGCGCTCGCCTCTGTCCCGGGTCGTCCAGGCCGGCCAAGCAGAATAACAGGGTTAGGAAAGTGTTAGCTTTGTTTCATTACATAAAAACCTTCTCCTGCCTACAGTGTGCTTATTTAGCCCACATCAGCAGCACACTGTGTTTTCCTCTAGTTAGCAGTTTGCCTTTTAGAAAAGACATTAACAGTGTATTAAAATATACTGTGTGCTGTTGTTCAGGAGTATAAATACACTGTATGTTTGCCTCATCAGCTGGATCCATGTGGTGTATGAATGGGCTACATACAGCTGGTGAGGAGGGAAGGCAGAACTACAAAGGCTTTTAAATATTTGAACATAAACCTATCTACACTAAAACAAATACCCCTAGTAATATCGAGCCATGCAGAGAGTTTAGCTATAATCTGCACAGGTTTTGAGATGCCTGTCTTATTCAGCCAAAGAAATAGTCCCTATAAACACTAATGAGATAAAGAACTAAGTAACCAGGATGAGCTGTATCCACATAGCATCTTTCTTTGACAGAAAAGTGGTGGAGGGACACTGGGAAGCGCTTCATAAACAGCACTTTTTTGATGATGCTACATAAACAGGGGTTTGACTACACAGCTAACAAACTTGGACAAAATATCACTGTATCAGTATGCTGATAAACAGTCGCCAGCGATATTCTGGTCTTCCTCCCTAAATCAGGGTTTTCTTGTTAATTTTTTGTCCGATATATGATATAGCTCAGATAGACACAGCCAGAACAAGATTCTTCGCCATCTTGGTTATGAAGGCGACGACTCCAGCCCCATATGATTGGTTGCTGGGAAAGGAGTGACAGTGATGACGCCACCATGACACCTTTCTGAAAAGATCAGAGATTTTCAACTATAAGTGCTCGGGGTGCAGCATGCAAAAGGCGGAGCTCTCTTAAAAAAGACGATGGGTGCAGCACCTTTTCTAGAGGCAGCCACATACGCTCTTTGTTTATTGGGCACAATTTAAAAAACACGCTGGGGCTCAGAAAAAAAAAAATGCTATGTGGACACACATCCTGTCATTTGGTAATGGTACCACACTCCCACAACAAGTACCAAAACAAACAAAGGTCAAAAAGATTTCAAGATTTCTTGTGTAGAAATAATAAGATGAGAGAATGTTGCCACCTTTTGTAATCATTTTAGAAAACTCATGAGAGGTGACTCTGAAGTCATCGCCTTTTTTTTTTTTTTTTTAAATTTTGCTTTGTGTAACCCGGATAAATTTTACAAAAAGGTTCACAAAGGACCTCATGCAACTTGAGACTTTAAAAAGATTTAGTAACATCATTTTACAAACCTTATTTGAGCCTGTTAGATAGGCTGAACTCCAATGAATGCCTGTCTAAATATAAGGCTCAGTTCAAATCAGTTTTAAAAGATACTTCAATATCAGTTCTCAGATTACATTTTACAAATCACTGTAGCGCTATAAGGGCTCTGTAAACCCGTAAAAACTAAAAATTATTGGCCAGAAATATGTGGCAATAAACCTGTATATGTGTCTAAGCAGCTTACTGTAATAACTCATCAATTCCTAATGGCAGAGCTGTGCAGTGCTGCCCTGTGCCCTGCAGAAGGCATCACAGCAACACGCTGTGTAAATGCCATCCAAACACTGATTAGGCCACAAAGCTTCGCCCCTGCTTGACATTATAATGAACATACTGTATTATTGAAGAGGGACTGGCAATAATGGATTCACTAATTCATCACACTGTGTTTACAGTTATGCACAGCTTTCATTAAAGGGACAGTACACCCCAAAATCAAAAACTGCATATTTTCCTCCAACTTGTAGTGCTATTTATCAGTCTAGATTGTTTTGGTGTGAGTTGCAGAGTGTAGGACATATACGCCTTAGAGATGTCTGTCTTCTCTCCACTATAATGGAACTAGATGGCATTCGGCTTGTGGTGCTCAAAGTGCCAAAAAACACATTTGAAAAATGCAGCAGAAATGTCTGTTTTCAGAAATCATGATCTGGTTGCTCAAGATAATGCACAGACTTTGTTGTGAGCAGTTTCATGTAGGAACTATTTTCTTTCAGCCAAACGTGTCACCACACAGAAGGAAGCGTGCATCTACTGCTCACTTAGCACCACTTAGCTAACTGACGTCACAGCTCAGCCCTGCAGGACGCCATTAACGTTTACATCATGTTGTCACAAACACAAGCTTCTCGTCCATGAGTAGATGCACACTTCCTTCTGCGCAGCAATATACGAAAAGACCTGGATAGATTTCTATTGCAGTGTATAGACAGAGATTTAGTGAAGGAAAGGGGAAAAGTGTGCTCCGTGTTGCTTTTGGTGTCCCAGTTTCCTCCTTGTGCCGAAGAGCTGTGACACATCCCGACGTTATCACAGGTCATGAGTCACGCCAAGGTCATGCCAAGCTGAGTCATGCATGTCGCTGCAGCCTAACATGTCACATACATTAACATACTGTCGTCCCCACCGCCTTGCACTCTGTCACTGAATATGAAGTATCGATTCTGCACAATGTAATTAACAACTGTTTGCACCACATCCTCTTTCCCCTCTTTTCTCCTTTGTTCTTTTCTCCTTGTTCCCCCACAATCTGTCCCATTTCACAAACTCACCCTCTCGACACCTCTATCCTTATATATCTTTTATGTTCCTTCATTCCTTCCTCTCCTTTCCTCTCCTGCTCCACTTCCACCGTCACTTCTCTCAATGCTCACTGCTACCTGGACTGCATGCCACAAAGGAGGACAAAGTGGTTAGCATCTTTTTTTTTTGTGTTCTCTCTTTGCTGTGTATGTGATGTTTGTGACACCCCAAAGGTAAAAACGCTGGCTGTATTCAAATCTGGAGCTGAGATCTCTTGTGTGTTTACAGCACGTTGACATCTATCCCGGAAAGGTGATGTAGAAAATTTAGTTTCCTCCATATTGGCCAGAGCTGTAATTTCCCAGCTAAAAGAGAAAGGGTGGAAAACCAACAATATCAGATGCAAGAGAGCAAGCTATCGGATTGGAACGGAGCCAGTGTGTGTGTGTACAAATCCACTTATGGATTACTGACTTAACTGAACAGAGGGAGTCCCTGATAGGTCATGGTTTTTGTTAACTCTGATTCTCAGAGCGTTTACTGTACTGTGTGGGGTGGAGCTATTGTGTCCTCAGAGGATTTTCTCTTCAGTGTAAAACCCTGACTAACTCTGTGTCCGTTGTCTGTCTCCTCCCCTTGCAAAGTGTCTCATAGTGAAGGACAGGGTAAGGCTTGTTGGGTGATGGATTTTGCTGCATGGGTCACTACTAATGTCTCCCCCTTCACACTTGGGTCTGTGCTCATTCACAGCATCAGAACAGGAATTCAGACCCACTCTCAGTTTCCGCCTCACAGATCACTGTAGTTAAGCGGTCCCAGGGCAGCCGGCTGGTGATCCTGCATCAGTACTCTAATTCTGAGAATGAATGCAGACCCTGAAAATCAGCGGGTTAGCGGAGTGAGCATGAACCATATATAGGGCGTCTGACCCCTCTGACCCATCCTGACCCCTCTTCCTATGGCTGTAGGCATGGCTGTGCTAAAAGGGGGCCGGTGGATACTGGTTTAAATCCTTGACAAAAATGGGGACAGGACATTGGAATTTCAGATGGAGATGGCATGCATATAAGAGAGCACCCTACCCTACAGACCATTTATCCGAATGTATAATGAATGCACACTCATGCCTGTGCATGCTTTCCCTGCCTGTGTGTTTGAGACCAGACCAGCCTTGCCATGGGGAGACGGGAGGGGCCCAGGTATATGTTCCACTTTGTCCACTTCCCTTTAATGCTTGGTCACTGCAAGATGTCACCAACGTGTTGTTACTGCTGAGGCCTGTCAAAGTCAGGGATGGTGAAGAGAAAGGCAGTTTTAGTTTGGGTCAGTAAGAGGATTCATTGTTTGACTGTGCTTATGTATACAGATAGAAAATAGAAAAGCTGACTTTTGTCCTTCATACAAACTTTTGGTGTTCTGCTTGTGGTATACAACTGAAGGCAGTGACGTTTTAGGTGTGGTAACAACTTCTTTGGACAGATGCAAAACCAGAGATTCACACAGTTTAACACAGGTGATGATTTGACCGGGAACATACCTGTTCTCCTTAAGTTCCTTGGGTAGCTATGTTTATTCTGCAAAGCAAGCCCAATTTTACTGTTCTCCTGCTGCTTCCATATTTTGTAATCCTCTTAATAAGATGCTTAAGGTCCTGAAAACCTGTTCTCGACCAGGTAATATTCCCTTTCAGATAACACACACAGGAATAAAAAAAAAAGCCCCTTACTCTGACTAGCTAGCAGCTAGTTATGTTTTCCCGGAGAACCACTCTACCTATAATCTGATTTCTTTTTACCAGAGGTTTGGTTTGTAACAGCAATATTTGGCTGGAGTTTCCTTCAATAGGCAGACTTACAGACAGACTTAATTCATTAGAAGAAACAAGAACTTTTACCAACTAAAAGCAAATAACAGCAACAGTTAATGGTAAATATCAATCAATGAGTCGATTTATTTGTCACATGAAATCTTATAAGGCTACATCCACACTGATGTGTTTTCATTTTACATTTATGCCTAGTGTCCACACTGCCATGGCACTTTGGAAGCCCTAAACTGGAGACCCTGGAAACACTGCTGACCCCCTTTTAGTTTAAAAAAATCGGGGGCTGTGTTTAGTTTGGATGGGCGAGAACAGAGACTTTTGAAACGATGACACAGACCCTTGTGTTTACTTCACGACTGGGTCTTATCAGTCACGACATGTCAAGTCGAAACATTTTAGCCAGAGCTTTTGGGGTTTCATCCTGTTGTGTGGGTAACGTTACTTCTTAACCATTGCCATGGCTTCCTCCAGCGATGGATAATGCTTGTGTGTGGTTGGCACTGCTCTAGTATGTTGCCATACCTATACATGATTTCTCGTTTTCAAAAGAATGAAGGGAAACATGTTTTTTGGCCTTAATATCATGGTTTGCTCTTAAAACATGATACACAGTCCTTAACTTTATGTTTGAACTCATACCCAAGCAGGTTTCTTAAACTTAAAATCAAAGGATCAAATCAACTTAATTTCATCATTCAATGCTTATATTATCAGTGTTGGGAACTAAAGGCCACTTATTGGATTTCCTTGTAAACAGAGCACATCATTAAATGCCAGCAGATTCAAGTTTAAATCTATTTCAGTCTGTGAGGATAGAAAGCCTGAGCTAGCTCTGAAGTGTGTGGAAGAAACTGATGTGTATTTCATAGCACTCTCTGTCAAGCTGGCCTGCCGCTGCTGGTGCTATAGCTTGTTAATGGCTGAGTGTTTGTTTATGTGTGTTTAATGTCAGCTCCAGATGGCTTCCAGAAACTGAACAAACCGCTGACAATCTGTCTCCTTTGTAGAGGAGCACTGCCTCCCAGTGGATAGCAAGCAGGCGCTGGGTCCTAGTACACACAAACACACACTCACACACTCACACACAATATAATATTTTCAGAATGACCCAGAAAGGCAACTGTATGTAGAAATATTTCATATTTGAAAAGCAAAGATAAGGGACTGAGCTATACTTCAAGCCACACACTACATCAGAATCCCTTCTATAGTCTTTATAGTTTGACAAAAAGTACACAAACAGCACAGAACCACACACAATATAGTGCTAAATTATAGTGTATAGTATCATTACACATTATATAACTATTCTTAACATGCACATGTTTAATATGAGCGTTGTAGTAATCCAGTTGCAGCCATTTCCTCTGTTTTTTTTAACTGTTTGGTACCTTGTGTGGTTTGAGTTAGTTTATGACTTACAGTTTACCACTAACACACACATACGGACACACATGCTCAGATTCACACTGATCTCGCTTGCTTACTGCATCAAGCTGACACTGCACTTTTTACCGGAAGGGAGGATGCACTGCATAATCTCAATCATGTTTCTCAGTACTAGATGACTAACCCGCTGCTCTCTCCTCCTCCTCCTCCTCCTCCTCCTCCTCCTCCTTCTCCTCCTCCTCCTCACACTCCACTCCTCTCCTCTCATACTCTACTGTATCTGTAGTAGCCTCGGTAACGCTCTTTGTTTCCGTCATCTGTTCAGTCTAAAGCATTTCCATTTAACTCTTATCCTCCTCTTTCACTGTTTATCGCCATGTCTGTCTTTTCTCTCTTCCTGTACGTCTATCCTCACATGCAACTGCATACATTTCTCAGGCTGGAAACAAAAGTGCTTATGAAACTGTCAAGGCCTGATTTTGGAGCTGATAGTGTGCCTTCACAGCCACGGCCTTAATGTCTAATAATAGGACCTCCCTGGCTGGATCTGGCAAAAGCCAACAGGCTCAAGACAAGTCTTTGATATGTGTGTAAAGTGATTTGTGATCCCATTACAGCTGCTTTTATCATCACCCTCACTTTAAAGTCATGACTGAAAGTCCATGTGGGGATTAGACGTTTTGGGCATGATTCCTATCAGTAAAAAATAACATTGCAGTCACTAAATTAATATCTAGGAAAGCAGTGACATCGATAAAAAGAGGTCTGATGAGACAACAAAAAAAAACACAGTCAGACAGTATGCTTTATAACAACAATGTCCCAGTTTAGTGTAATTTATAGAAAGTCTTGACATCTGACATTTACTATCCATACTCTTAAATCAATGTGATCTCACAGAAATACGTGAAATGACTACAATGTCTTTGTTAGGGACCAAGCAGTGAGGCAACAAGGATGCATCAGTTGTTGACAGACCTGTGGGTTTTTATTTACCCAAAAAATGCATGAAATATTACAAAGCAAGAAATGAACAACTAGGCTTATAAAAAAGGTCATGACATAACATCCTCAATATAATAACTAAACAAGGTGTCAGCTGAACAAACTGACCTGTCAAAACCACACACAAGAAAGCATCATGGCTTGGCCAAACCAAATAATACACAAAGGGTAACCAAAATGGACAGTAACTACAACTAAACACAAAGCAAAACTAACTAAACCCAAATCCCCCATGACATAGCAGCACATGGTTTGGTCCAATAAGTTGGCTCCAAGATTTAAGAATCCTCAGCCCTCAGCCACACCTTTTGCTTCACCAGGAAGGGAACTCCCCAAACAACCAACAAGTAATATCAAACAATTTGCCTGTGTAACTTTTCATGCAAACTAGAGATATAACAATGCCTCAGTCAAAAGACAACTGCTTTTCATGGCACTATCCCAACTGGAAATGAAGCGATGTCTCAGTAAAAAATAACCACTTTTTGTAGCACTATCACAGGTGAAACACAGAGACACGTCACTAGAAAACACCCACATTTGGTAGCTAAAAAGCCAATGGAAACACAGCGATGACTCGCTAAAAAACAACCGGTTTTGTTGTTTGTTGGTTGCAGTGGTCTGCTGTGTGGCAGGCCTCTTGCCTAGGTGTCCTGGCATTAAACCTTAAACCTAACCAAAACCAAACCACAGCATTGTCACGTCAAAAATTGATTCTTACAACTGAGATTTGTATTGGTTTTAAAAGGCACAAATGATGCCATCCTGCTGATAGGGGTGTCAGATTAGGAAACGGTTATATGTGTCATTTTGGAGGGCAGTTACATGCAAAGTACAGTATTTGTAGTTTATTTTAGATGACTTGTTGGGTAACGTAGAGCACAGAGAGCGTCTTCTCTGTGATCTTGAGCTGCTTTCCTCTCAGTCTTCCTCACCACTGAACACATTCAGTCTGCTTGCAGAGTTGATCTACTACCTTATTAGAGGAAATGGAGCATTATGTCTTTTGCAGTCGTCTTTCTTCCCACCATTCAGGATTTACCATTCCCTGAACGATGGCAGTTTACACCCAGCCTTGCCTCATATGTCATTCTGTCAAGCTGTGTGTTTGTGTGTACGTGTGTGTGTGTGTTGAGGGCAGGGTCACTGCACACGCTCACTGAAAGCCAACCACACCCTCCCCACTGCCTTGCCACCCCCAAGGCTCCCATTTATTCTGCCCATTTAAGGAAAAGCTGATGTTCACACAATTCGGGCCTAAATGAATGCTGTTCTCGCCGTGAGCTGCTGCTGCTGGCAGAGCTGCAGACGCACGCCTTCACCATTTTGTCAGCAGATGGATGGAGCAGCGCTGGGGGCGGGAGATGAAGGGAAGAGGGTATGGGATGGAGAAGTAGGAGTGACAGGTGTGTGGTGTCTTCATTTGTCAAGTCAGCCAGGTGTGTC